GTTTAGGGTTTAGGGGTTCAGGGGGATCAGGGGGTCTTCCCGGTTTACAACAACCGGATGGCAGTTGGGAGTATTACTGTCAGCCATTGTGAGGACGGCATGTAGAGAGTCCACGCATTGATACAACATCTTGGTGAACGCAACGAAAGCGCCCAAACAACTATTTCAAAAGGAACGTATGTGAATGTGAGGGCCGAAGTAGATGCTGCTACAATGGGTACAAAGACTCAAGGACCCTTAGTGTTAGAAATTGGATTGCTAAAGCCAGGCTACTTAAAGCCTTCTTATGGTTCGGGATTGAAGCCGCCTTTAACAGGTTTTATTTATAACCATGGCCTAGCATACCCCCAAACTATATTCCATTACGAAAAGGCACTTGAATCTAGATGCATGGAGTTTAAGTCTCCCTAAAATAATTAGGCTCATGCGTTTCGAGGCTGATGGAGGAGCATTGCTTGGACGGGAATGGCCGTTCGATTGAAGGAGCTGCATTTATCTTGTAGGTCTCCCCTTAGGTTCCCTGTCAAGGTACCCAATACCAAAAAATGGAGCCCTTTTGAATCCAGGGTTACTGGGCATCCTAGTGCGCTGTCTCAATGTTTCAAGCTTCTGTAGCACATCAACGTAGCGGCCTGCATACACTACGTAAATCCACACATCCGTGCGTGTGTGCATGTGCATTCCATGAACACCTGGATACAGATAACTACATACGTTGATACATGTAGTCATACAAACATTAGTTTATTCATTGATTTACTCACTCTTTCATTCGTCGTCGTTCATTCATGACTACTACGACGAGCAGGGCCAGCGGCATGAACTGTACATGACGCCCTGACGAAGTCCTAAGTGCAGGGAAGATTTGTGACAGCTGCGCACTTACCAGCCATTTAATCGGCCCAAGCATTCTGCTTCTGTAGTATTTCGCATCTTGCTCATTCTCTACCGGAGATGCTTCGCATCATCTTCGCATTTATGGCAATTGCTGCCGCAGAGGCCTCGTGCATCGGTGAGGCTTGCCCCTCGCGTGGAGATGCCCTGCTCCAGCACCAAATTGCCCACGAGAGGGTTCAGACCGGCGGCTATGAGCTCCTTTGTCATAGTTGGGTAACATTTTACATGTTTAAGGGTACTTAAACCCAATAAGGAATATAAGTTTAAATGTTTAATCCCTAAACCCTAAACCCTAAACCCTAAACCCCAACCATGAACTAGGCTCGGAGGGGACAACACCCAAAGCTGCAGCTACCAGCGGGAGCGCCTGGACACTCCCACGGAGTGCAGGGACGCAGCAGCGGTTCTCGGCCTGACCTATGGCTACACCGGTTCCTACTACAGATGGCCACGATACTGCTTCACCTACCGTGACCTGGTCTACTTCAACGAAGACGCTGGGCAGACTTGAGAAACTTGTGCGTGTTTCCACTTTCACAAAGACGCAAGGTTTTTCCAGGTCATAGACCCTAAACCCTAAACCCTAAACCCTAAACCCCAAACCGTAGGTCCGAAGCAAGTGGGAGCCGGAAGGTTAGGTTGCACTTGTTAGGTCATGTTGGATCTATGGTCGCACTGTCGCACGTGACTTCTGATATATAGTAAACCCCAGAAACTTGGAAACCGGATGAAGGACAAATAGTGCTGGGATTCTCTATACAATACTCTTAAGGATTGAGGCCATAGGGTTTCCAACTTTTGGGCTTTAACCCTAAACCCTAAACCCTAAACCCTAAACCCCCCTTACTTTCCTTGAGCCGGAATCCCCAGAGCTAAGAGTCCCCTAAGCCCTAAAGCCCTGGAACATCCTTCTCCTGGTACCAATAAGGTAAAAGATAAAGGATCTTTAGGGTTTAGGGTTTAGGGTTTAGGCTTTAGGGTTTAGGGTAAAAGATAAAGGATCCTAGGACCATGTTCTAACTTTCTGTAACATTGAGGTAAAAGATAAGGGATCCTATATAGGACCATGTTCTAACTTTCTGGGCTTCGCCGTAACTCAAACCCTAAACCCATACGACAAATTGTCGAAGTTGCCCGGTTGGGAGCAGAGCCATGCAGGCGCACAAAGAGACCGTCACCCCAACTTTAAAAGAAAACCCTAAACCCTAAACCCTAAACCCTAAGCTCATGCCAGGACGCAGTCAACTCTGCGGGCCGAAGCGATGCCCGTTTGGTCTGCAAGCGCGTGGAGCCCACAACAACCACCACGACCACGACCATCCTTTACGACAACGTACCTCAATGACCTGGCTAAAGGATTACAGTACCCTAAGGGTCCATGTACCCAAATAGTATATACTTTGGCCCCAAAGTACCTATATAGGGACTACTTTACGGCCAAAGTATATACTATTTGGGTACATGGACCCTTAGGGTCAATGACCTGGCTTTTAAGGATTACAGTAGGGCTTCTATAGGGTTGAGGGTTTAGTTCGGGGTTGGGATAAGGGTTTTAGGTTTTAGGGTTTACAGGGTTTGGGATTAGGGTTTCGTCAGGGATTGGGATAAGAGTTTTAGGGTTTCGGGCTTACAGGGTTTGGGGATTAGGGTTTAGGGATACGACTACGTGCCTCGGGGGCTTGATCTAAGGTTTACACTACCTGGAGGGTCATACCCTACCCCTTTCATACGGTAGCTGGTGAGGATCCGATATTCAGAGAAATGATACGAGGTACCCTAAGAACGGGGTAGGTTATGACCCCAAAGGTAGGGTTTATATTATAGGTTTTAAGGGTAGGGTGGTTGAGAATCCTTTTGGCTTACATAATTGGCTTTCAGCTTCTCTCACCAAGAGGGTCCATATATGATCCCGGTTCTCGGTTCGCCGCCCCCCCAACTCAAGGTATCCCCCGCCCCCCCTCCGGCACGCACAGGTCCGAATATGCTGACTGTGCGCATTTCTCCCACGTGTCGGCTCCAAAACCATCAACCCCTAACCCTCCAGGTAATTACCTACCATATAGGGCCCTAGGGGCTCTAGTACCCTATATAGTAGGTACCTGGGGGGTTAGGGAACTGTCACGAGGATCTTGTCCCAAGCGCACCCGATCCTTGTGACAGTGGACACTTCCCACCCAGAACTCTGCCATGAAGGTATTGAGAATGCAACTGTCAACAGGATCACGTTCCTGTCAGGCCCGCTGCCTGCTGTGGCAGATGACTCAAGAAAGGAACATGATGATGATGATGATGATGACGATTTCAAAACATTCGGGGCGACCCTAACCCCGAGCCACACTGCACCACAACCATTGGGGGGGGGTGGGACCTAATTCCATAATGGTAGTATATATGGACCTTCTGGGTTAGTTATTTGTGCGCTGAGGTCGTGAGCTACGTGATCGGTGCCCCAGGTTTCGATTGTGCGGAAGGCCACGTGGTCACCACGCACGTGGAGTGCGCAAGCAGTGAACTGATCACTCAGACGGGGATCCATTTCTCAAACTGGGCCTCCACCAACCAAATGCAGTTCGGCTGCATGTACTCCAGTACTCTGCACGCCCTGTTCTTCAACTACTTCGAGGGCGGCAGCGTAGACTACGACTACTCTCCAGTTTGCAAAACCGAGACGAGTCTTGGAGTGTGAAGTGGCCCTGGGCCTTAAATCCTAAACCCTTGCTAAACCCTAAACCCTGCGAATGTGGACGACCTCCCACGGATATCCTGAATGACTCCCAAATGCTAAGCCCAAGACAAGACCCAGCGTTTTAGGGTGTAGGGCTCAGGCCAGCGTAAACCCTAAGCCCTAAAGTTACGCACTGTAAGCTTCATTTAGGGGCTTCAGAATATAGGGGACCCTAATATAGTACCCTAAATAGTAGCATCCTTACTATAAGGACCCCCACATAAGGTACCCCTTATTTTCGGAAACTCCCATGTAGTCCCCAGGAATCCAGTGGTTCGCCACTTCGACTTGGGCGACTTCGACACCAACATGTGTCGCCATGGGCAGCCAATTGATGACTCAGAACCTCGGGTTTAGGGTTTACGGTTCAGTACGGTTTAGGGTTTTTTAGGGCTTAGGGTTTCGGTAGTCTATAAGGGGGCTCCTGAGGTTTAAGGGTTTAGGGTTTAGGGTTGTAGTAGAAGCCCAAAAAGTTGGAAACCCAATAGCCTCAACCCTTAAGAGTATTGTATAGGGAATCCCAGCACTATTTGTCCTTAATCCGGTTTCCAACTTTTTGGGGTTTAGATTAGGGTAAGGCGCCCGTTGATGATTCAGGACCTGACTCAGCAATTCGCGAAAGAGTCTAGGATTTGTAGTCTCGGGTCCCGCTTAGGACGCACATGTCGTGTTTGGGGCATCTGGCTTGTTGCATCAACCGATACGTACAGCCAGAAGCTTTCGTGAAAGTATTCAAACTAGTTCGCCCTAAATCCGAAACCCATTAGGTAATCTCTACAAGACCATGGGTTTCTCGTTTTTGGCTATAGGGGTTAGGGGCTTAAAAGAAGACTAAGACTATTCGGCGTTCGGTACTGTAGTTATGTGTATTGTAAATGGAACTGCACATTCCAAGAGTAGGCCTCCTACTCTCTAGACATCCAAGGAGCTTTGCCGCGAGTCCGCTGCCTCTTTTGGCGAGGTGTCTCAGTTCTACATTGGTAATTTCCTGCTTTGTTGTTTCCATGATGGCTGTCTTTCCGCTGTTCTAGCCATGGTGCGGCGTTCAACTGCAGTAACGATTTAGGGTTTATAGGGTTTCGAACTCCATTTTATACCCAGTCTGCCCCATGCATGGCATTGGAGTGTGGATTCACAGCACTCCTTTGAGCAAGCCTTATATGGGCCGTGGCATTCCCGTGTGCAAACATGCACCGGCACGCCACGAAACATCTTATACTGAGCTTGCCCTTAACCCTGAACCCTAAACCCCGAGCCTCAAAAAGAACCCGAAACCCTCGTGCCCAGGTCTTCTCCACGAGCGGAAGTTATTCTGGCTACCCCATGGGCTGCTTCAAGTTCTTGAATGGTGACTCAGCAGTAGAGTAGGCATCCCGTATCTTTTTTGGGTAGCTCAATCCTGACATACTATACCGTATAAATACTATAACAAGTATAATGTTGGGACCGAGTATAAAGTATGAGAAGGCAATAATTGCAACAAAACACCGTATACGTACCAAAATCAGAAAGTAAACCTTTCGTTCGACCGGGCAACTGGACAAGCAAGGCGACATCTACTTCAACAGGCATGAGGGTAACCATCCAAGCCCCAATGCCGCGCCAATTTGCTTGATTGGATGAGCCGGGCGGCTGTCTGCGATGTTTTGTTTTTCAAACAGCTGTTCCAAGGGTTACGGATGTGATGAGTCCTAACACTCATCCACCCATCCACCACCCTGAAGTGAGTGTAGAGTTCCCACTCCTGTTTCAAGAGCTGTGAAGTCCTGGTCGCAGAGGCATCTCATGTTCACTCCCATTTCAAGAGCTGCGAAGCCCTGGCAGCACCGCATGCGCATAACGCCCATTGGAGGGGTGGATCCAAGAAAAGTGTGTCCCCATCACTGCCTTAGGGTTTCGGGGCAAGGCATATGACTCGAAATTGGTTTAGCCGTCTTCAAGATTCAAGATCCACTCACTGCATCTTTCTGGTCCAGCCATGTGGCCTAGCCTAAAGGTACTTTGGAGAAAGCATCGCCACCTAAGATAGGTTTATTCTCGGTCCTGTATTCAGTTAATTACCTTCGGTTACTGTATGGTCAAGCACTAAACCTTAAAGGTCTGGCAAGACGTCAGTGCAGGACATTTCTACGGCAGCAGCACTCCGTTCTTCGCAGAGAGCACTGCGGGAAGGTATGTCGCCTGGCCTTGGTCTATGGACTTCGGAATCCCCAGAGACTCCAATAGCCCTTAATTAAGGAACAGACCTTAAATCATATTAAGGATCCTACTATAATTTAAGGTATGTTCCTTAATTAAGGGATATTGGAGTCTCTGGGTCTACCGACACACACACACACGATTCACGGGCTTAGGGTTCAACCCTGAACCCTAAACCCCTGAACCCTAAACCCTAAACGAACATGCTATAGCAGGGCAGGGTCTCAAGGGTCCAGCATACAGGGCCTCGCATGTGTTGGATTATCAAAGTTTTTGGAGAAAGGCTGAAATTACACCAAAGAGCCTTAATCCAGGTTATTGGGGCTTGCTTAGAATATTGGCCTGAGATCGCCAATGCTATTCCTGAGCACTCCTTATGAATATGATAGTATACTATACCCCATAATCCTATTACAGCTTATAAGGCCCTAAACCCTAAATCCCTTTTTGAGGGCCTTGGTGTGGCTTTGGATTTGGTGGTGGGGTCCTCGGGGTTGAAAGCTGCCCTTTGCAAGTCCTGGGTCGACTTAGACTTGCCCGGTGTTACGAAGGATGCGAATTTAGGGGCCTAAATACTTACCTATACTATTTTTTTTTTTTTTTTTGGGGGGGGTCCTTATGATAATTATAGTATAACATACA